AAGCCAAAATTTCTTACGACTTCCCCTTTGACCCTATTTTTGACCTCCGTAAGTCCCTGACAAACAGATATACACAAATAATAAGATAAGCAGCCTCAGCGCTTATTATAGTAGTACTACCTGGCATTCCTGGTCCAGCCCGGGTCATCAAGGTTTCAGCTCAATGGGTTCATCCGCAAAGGAATCTATAAAAAAAACATAGGGTCAAGATTTGCACAAATATTGACGTTTATATATCTAAGATACTACTCATTTATTAGTCAACTGCGAAACTTTACAATTTACAATAGATTGCGATTGGAGCGCGCTTTCCGAGGCCGATCATAACGCTGTGAACCCTATTTGGGGCTGTATCGAAGCTGTGCCTTGGTGGTTTTGGAAGCGGATTTGAACATAAAGTAATACTCTCGACCTAGTCCACATTTATGTAAAGAAATCCGGGAAATTATGTGAAGGGAAGCAGGGAGCCACCCCAGGAGGCTCCCAGGTGGCGCGGGAGCCACCTAATTTCGAAAAACACTTACCATTTTTTAAATTCACATAAGTTTCTCATAATTCTTCATATTTTTTTGTGCTCATGGTCCTCCAACTACACAGCAAATTTGGTGCCATATCGTTACTTGTGCATTGAAAACGAGACTATTTTGTTATTTTCCTCTTACAAGAGTTGCGATTTGAATTCCCGCCTGCGGGCAGGCTAGCGACGCCCCGGACCCCAAAACACGACTTCCCCTTTGCTTTTTCGGGCCAAAAACCATATCCAGCTTGTGAAAGCGCCACCCCCGCCGGGCCCTGACCGCATATCATTAGATGCGTGTTGATGAACTGATTCCAAATCTACCTTTCATATCTGCGGAGCCGTTCTCTGCAAAAAATTATAAGCGTTCAAAAATGTGAAGTCACTGGGGTTTTAATGCATAGTGTGCTTCAAAATCCAACTTGGGAGTGTATGACTAGCATGATAGTGTACTTATTTCAAGGAACACTCACACTCAAAAGAAATCCAGATAAGTTTTTTGAACAACTAAAAAGCAACTAAAGTTCGTTAGTAAAAGCTATGAGCAATGAAAAGTACAAATTTGGTAATAATACAGCACCATACCTCGAGAATCAGCTGTTCAAAAACGCTTATTTGTGTTTCTTTTAAATGTAAGCATTCCTTGAAATCCGTAAACTCAATATCACTCAAGTCATACACTCTAAACTTGATTTTGAAAGACATTAAGCATTGAAACCCCAGTGACTTCACATTTTCAAACGCTTATAACTATTTCCAGAGAACGGCTCCGCAGATATGAAAGGCAGATTTGGAATCAGCTCATCAAGACCCATCTAAAGATATGCGGTTTAATTCGTCACCTTAATTTGGGGTCGATCCTTGTAAGTATGACGAGTTATGGAAAGGAGGAAATTGTTTTGCATCCTGTAGGGTTTGCTCTGTGAATATGTTACTTGGACTCCTTCGGAGGGTTGGTATAAAAGTTCAGAAAAATTGTGAATGATTTCGAAAAGCATAGGTCGCAGATTCCGTTGATTTTCAGAGAGATCATTGACTGTGCTGCAACGATTCTAAATCATTAGAAAGAGGATGAATTGATGCATGAAACTATTACGTCTTAGGAGTCTTTATTCCACGAAAGGCTGCGTTTATCTAAAGAAAAAAGCAGCATTATTCTAGAAACGATCTTTATAAGATATTTGTGCATTTTCGGAGTACCATATATTCTGATACTTCATTGAACTTTTCATCTTATTTAATAATTAAGCTGCTTAGTATAAAATGTTCAATTCGCAGCTCATTCGCTTGAATTACAGTCGGTATATGAGTTTGGCCGCTTCCGTTTGTCTGATCATTTCTTTCTTAATCATTTGGAGGTCTCTTGCATGTGGAACTGAAATTTGCACTAGCTTCGTCTACTGGAATAATCACAAAACTTTTCTTGTGTTTTATTCAGTACTTCCTTGTCATATTCATGCATTCAGCAAAATCATATATGTTGTACAGCCTAGCTTTCGTTTTAGTTTTAATTCAATCAATTTCTCATTTAGTGTTTCCCTATTAGTAGGAAAAGTGCGAAAAATATTAGAGTATTTATTGTTAACTGTTTAGCGAGGTCGTCTAGCATGTCCTTCATATCTACTTTGGTATTTATAGTATGTGTTCTGCAAAGTAACAATCATCAGTTATTGAATATATTCTCCCTATGAGTGTTGAGTCTATATATTCCGGGTATTTCTGCCTCCTCTGAGACATTATGTATACTTTAGAGGAAGCTGTGATAATTGAATGTTTCCAGACTCAAAGACATTTTCGAACTATACTGATTCGCACTTGAATACCCTTCAAGTTATCTACGTTCGAATGCACCGTAAGTATGTGATGAATATGGGAACTGTTGCATAACTTGGATAGTTTTAGTCTTTCACTCATTCCCTGATATATTATGATTTATGACGTTGATTTCCTCCTTGTGAGTTTCCTCTTTTTCTTTTCTTTCCCAGAGAAGTGTTGCGTCTAACGAAGATCATGACTCATTATAAGCTGCTTAATTTGAAGCTGTGTAGCGTGTTGTTACAAAATTACAATAACGATTTACAATACTGAGGGTGGTTCATTTTCAACTACTCAGATAATCGCCGGGGGCAGGCGGCCATGCGAATTTGAGCAAGCGGGCACCGGAAAAAAGTTCGCTGATTTCTTGCGGCCCGCTTGTAGAAATTTGGAAGATGTTGACCAATTTTCGGACGAATGATCGGAGAACTATCGCATTTACCATAGATTAGTTGCGGCGCATTGGCCGCATTCTCACGGACTTTCTGCGAGAATATGCAAAATTATTGGGGGCCGCACGGTCCTTTATGAAGGGCCGCGCAGTTCCCAGGACTCAAACTTGAGTAATTAAACCATCGATGACACCTCTGCAGCATAGAGTCTCACATTTGCTCGATGTACGCCCGAAACTGCTCAAAAAGAGTGTGAACGCCTGTTGAAAGTTTGGCCAGCGCTCGCTGAAAGAGATTATTTGACGAGCGCCCGCAGAAAATTGTATTCTGCCCCGCTAGCAGGACATTCGACAGTGGTACCGCCCACTGAAGGTTTGGCCACGCCCCAAAATTCTGCTGACCGCCTGCAAGAAATCGCGATTTGCGGACCGCCTGCCCCCCGAGATTATCCGAGTAGGGGTCACTCGCCTCAGGCAACTTGGAATGATGTGAGCAACAAGCTATTAGAGCGCAAGTTTAACACTTTCTGTGACAACCAGTGCGATCCTCTGCGAAGCCGAGTTGGAGCACTGGAATCTTGTACTTATGTTCCGAATTGGATGTGAAAATCTTGTATAAGACAATCGATCAAGCAAATTATGTCTGTCTTACTTAATGTCATGATGTTTGTAAACAGAGAGTGACTTGTTAGATTACCTATTATTGTCACAATTTTTTCTGCTTTGTCATAAAATCCCCTCCCTTTTCTTGACTTTCTTCTCTTACTCCTTCTTCTCCTGTAATCGGACAAATAATGTATGGGTGTTCTTTCTTTTCTAGTGGGTTGACATTTTCGGAGATGTTCCAGAACCTTTTATCTGGTCGTTGAACCCAAAGGTGCAGCTGTTACAATGCACTGTATCCACTGGACTCTTTTTTCCCAGAAGGTTCTTCACATTTTCTTCACATTTTTCTTCTCCTCTCATATGGTCTAAGATTTCGATGCTAATACCAATCAGTCATGGTCTGTTGCTTTACCATGATGTATTCATGTTAACTTTTCTGAAACTTCTGCGATGTTGACCAATTCTAGCTCTCTTATGGTTTGTGTTGTTGTTTCCCCTACGTATTGTAGTTTATAGGTAAGGCAAATGTAAATCGCATTTCTTTTCTCACAATTTGAGATGACCGGTTTATTAGTTTGGAAACTATGTGTTGTGGATCTTCAAGTATATGACTTGCATATCAAATTGTCACATATCTCACAGTATCTTCTTTTGCCTACAAAGATGAAAAAAGATTATCACCTAGTTTTAACTGGTTTAATGTTGTTAATTTTATCATTCACGGACAACAGAGAACACCGATTCCTTGTTATTTTTGGTTGAGTGACCTCAAATCCATTGAGTCTGAGGCGTCCTTGACTCTTATGCATTTCCATATGGAAGGTTATATCCTCTCGAGTTAGGACGAAACCTATTTATCCCCGAGGGCGCTACCCGTGATGCAAACTGCATTGAATAGCTGATGCCCAATACCACGTCAAAATTTATGTATTCGCACAGCTATTTTTCAATAGCTTTTATTAAGTTATCAGCATGCTCATTTACTAAAGCGCTACGATCCTAAATTTCATATTGCCTGCGGACCTCGCCAAGGGTTGGGCCAGACTGCGCGACATACGCGGCGTACGCCGCGTACGCCGCGCAGTCTGGCCCAAACCTAATGCAGGATGCCAGTGGACTGAACAACCTGCATTCTAAATTGGTCAGATGATCAAAAGCTAACAACTGATAGCATAATAGGTTTCACAGAAGAAGGAAGATTGAGGAAGCTCAATGCGTGAGCAATGGCCGCAGACTCACCGACTTTTACGTTCAGGCAAAGCCGTAGAGTTCCTTCATACTACGCCGCATTTCGCGGCGTAGTATGAAGGAATTAGAGCCCTAGAGCAAGAGATTTCAAACAGATCAACAATTCACTTCCGACTTATGGTGGCGAAAAACAGCCTAAGACACACTTAGAACTGTGTGTCAGAAATGGAATTTTCTATTTGATGTGTACGGGCATACATAGCTATAGATGGATAGATGTTCAGCTTTATATAGAGAACGTGCATCGCGCCGGTCTTGTCAGACAGAAACGCTAATTTCATATCCGAATTACCTCCGCAAAGGAGAACATGATTCGATTCTACATATCAACCTGACATGTGCGGCGAGAGTTCATTCGCAAAGCAAGAATGAATCATATAAGGGCATTAGCATCAGGAAAATGTAATAGTTGAAATTGCTCACCATCCACCGGTTAATGAGGGCCATACTCCTTGAAAGAAGATTTTAACAGCTGTTATTGAAAGAAAGCAGTCAAAGCAAGACATCTACTGGCAAATCACTTGGATACCTAGAAGCAAAAACAAACTCTTCTCTAAAAATGAACCCTGAGTGGAAACGGCGAGTTGTAAAAGGGACCATCGTATCTGAGCAACTATTTCTGTTAAGGCCTCAATAAAGAACATCCGATGAGCTCAAATTAAATGAATGAATGCTCAGAACTCGACCCAGCCATTCCCAAAAGCCATATACAGTACCCACACTAATTATACAGAAAACACAAAAACTGACGATCCGCGTTTTTTTCGTTTTTTCTTCATAACTTCTTTCAAATTGCATAAAATACAAATCCGAAGAAAGCATGATGCTCAGTTCGTCAAGATGAATCTTCCGATATACTGCATTCTCATACTATTCTGTTTTCAATCTGCTCGATTTTTGTGTGAGGACGGGTATTCGTAGTGGTGTAAATTAGCGAAGAACACACATGGACGATTCGTGTAAACATGGTTCAGTAGTGCTGGTCCCCGTAGATTATCATGTACTAGCATTCAGCAAAGAATCCCCTTTCCATAGGGAAAGATAGGCTGTTTGATTTCGAAAAAAAATTTTTTTTGAAAAAATCGATGTCTCTCAAATTTTCGTTACCGTAACCATACAGTAAGACGCTAATTTGCAAAACAGGTGTGTTCTTCGTAATCAGCAGGTTAGATAACCTCTATGCGCAAGTTTTCCAAGGAATTCGCAACCTTTCATTTTTTCCCCTTCCCTGCTGTGAAGCTCGCCGATGGTTTTGGCTAAAATATTGGTGATCTTGGATTGACCGGAAACTTCGCCCATAGAGGATTTCGGACTCGCTGATTACAGAAATAGTGCCCTATGTGCAGCACAAGTTTTTTTTGGCAGAGTTATGCTGAAAGGAATGCTGTGATACTACGCAAGTTCCTAAGTTTGTCTGCCCTTTGCGCGTGTCTGTTGGATAACTTACCTGCTCTTTTGTAATGTGAAGTCACTAAAAGCAGTGCTCTTAGAGCATGCTCAAACTAGACCCTTATCTGTATGGATCGCCGAACTATGAGCTTATGAACTCACGTCCTCATGAAAATCATTCAAAATTTTAAGGTCGCATATTTTGGCCACATTTCACCGCGAATGGTTACAGATGACTCTGATTGTATATCTTATGTTTATATACACATGTAAATTGATAATTTATGCCGCATACTGCTGCCTACCCCTTGTGCCAACTCTTACACCTGTAACTCAAAGTTTGCAAAAAATTCAGACCAGCTCGGCTCCTAAGGCTGGGTTCATACTGATTCCCATGTTCCGGAACTGTTCCCGCACAATCCCGCAATGTTTCCGCACTGTGCTGGGAACTGTGCGGGAATTGCAACTGTGCTGCATGCGCTGCAGCCGCCCGCACGCGTTTCAAACAGCGGGAATTAGAGAATTTTGACCGTTTTCAACGGTTTTTCTTCCAAATTTCCCACATTTTGGCCTTATTTCTCTACCCCGCTCCTTTTCTTTTTTGACAGAACTTCGAGCTCGAAGCGGGGTTGAAGAATGAGCGCTTTTCTGTTCTGCGTATGCGACAAAATGTGTGTTCTTGCGCTCGTCGTTTTCTGTTCGCTTTATTTTTACACACACTTATTCCATTTGTTCCAGGAAGCCTCTGCGTAGTTTCCATAGCCATCTGCTATGAATTAGGGAGTAGGAGCAATGCTGAAATTGCATGAATTGAGACTTGTCTCTTGTTTTGATGGGTTTCGTTTTGGGCATTCTCCGCCGGGTAGAGGACTATATGTCGCCGAAAAAGGGCGGTCCCCGCGGTCATTTGCGACAAATACGCATCTTTGTACATGCGCGGACATGCGTTTCCTGCAGGGAATCCGCCCTGGACTCTTCCAAATTCGGCGACATATAGTCCTGCACCCTTCTCCGCCCCTTTCCTTTTTCCATATCGTTGCTTTTCCTTTTTTTCTTCTATCCCACTTCCTTGTGATGAGAAAAGCTGTGAACTTGAAGCGGAGTTGAAGAATGAACGCGGTTGTCATCATGTATCCGGGAAGATGAATCTTCTTGCGCTCGTCCATCTTCTCTGCCATTCGTGTTCAGGCCTACTCATGTGTTCTAGAGACCTGTCCATGTCCCTTTCAATATAAATGCGAGACTACGCAGCGCCTTCTATAACACATGAAGCAGGCCTGGGCAAAAATGGAAGAAAATGAACAAGCGCAAAAAGAGCAATCTGCCCGGATATGGAACAGAACAAGGTTTCTTTAGCTCGCTTTAATTTCACACTTTTTCTCATCACAAGGAAAGGGGCTGAAAATGGCCAAAAAGAAAATTCATCAAAAAACAAGAGAAAAGTCCCAATTTATGCAACTTCAGAATTGCTCCTACTCCCTAATTCATGGCGGAAAGCGCTCATTCTTCAACCCCGCTTCGAGCTCGAAGTTCTGTCAAAAAAGAAAAGGAGCGGGGTAGAGAAATAAGGCCAAAATGTGGGAAATTTGGAAGAAAAACCGTTGAAAACGGTCAAAATTCTCTAATTCCCGCTGTTTGAAACGCGTGCGGGCGGCTGCAGCGCATGCAGCACAGTTGCAATTCCCGCACAGTCCCCAGCACAGTACTCTGCGTTGATACCACTGCTTTGCGGGAACAGTTCCGGAACATGGGAATCAGTATGAACCCAGCCTTAGGAGCCGAGCTGGTCTGAATTTTTTGCAAACTTTGAGTTACAGGTGTAAGAGTTGGCACAAGGGGTAGGCAGCAGTATGCGGCATAAATTATCAATTTACATGTGTATATAAACATAAGATATACAATCAGAGTCATCTGTAACCATTCGCGGTGAAATGTGGCCAAAATATGCGACCTTAAAATTTTGAATGATTTTCATGAGGACGTGAGTTCATAAGCTCATAGTTCGGCGATCCATACAGATAAGGGTCTAGTTTGAGCATGCTCTAAGAGCACTGCTTTTTAGTGACTTCACATTACAAAAGAGCAGGTAAGTTATCCAACAGACACGCGCAAAGGGCAGACAAACTTAGGAACTTGCGTAGTATCACAGCATTCCTTTCAGCATAACTCTGCCAAAAAAAACTTGTGCTGCACATAGGGCACTATTTCTGTAATCAGCGGAGTCCGAAATCCTCTATGGGCGAAGTTTCCGGTCAATCCAAGATCACCAATATTTTAGCCAAAACCATCGGCGAGCTTCACAGCAGGGAAGGGGAAAAAATGAAAGGTTGCGAATTCCTTGGAAAACTTGCGCATAGAGGTTATCTAACCTGCTGATTACGAAGAACACACCCTGTTTTGCAAATTAGCGTCTTACTGTATGGTTACGGTAACGAAAATTTGAGAGACATCGATTTTTTCAAAAAAAATTTTTTTTCGAAATCAAACAGCCTATCTTTCCCTATGGAAAGGGGATTCTTTGCTGAATGCTAGTACATGATAATCTACGGGGACCAGCACTACTGACCCATGTTTACACGAATCGTCCATGTGTGTTCTTCGCTAATTTACACCCACTACGAATACCCGTCCTCACACAAAAATCGAGCAGATTGAAAACAGAATAGTACGAGAAAGCAGTATATCGGAAGATTCATCTTGACGAACTGAGCATCATGCTTTCTTCGGATTTGTATTTTATGCAATTTGAAAGAAGTTATGAAGAAAAAACGAAAAAAAAAACGCGGATCGTCAGTTCTTGTGTTTTCTGTCGAATAATTAGTGTGGGTACTGTAACATCGGAGTCGCCTTGTAACGTTGGTTCCAAGTACTATTATCTGCCGAACACTATGTGGAAGAAGCTGTGAGCGTCTGAATACGTGAAATTATCCGAGTCTCTTCGGATGTAATTTGTTGCAAGGCATGAAAGCGCATAGTTACAGTGATTATGAGTACTTTAATCAAAATGAAGTAACGCAATCACTGAAAACTCAAATAAGCGTTTTTTGAAACGTTTTTCGTGAATCATTACTACAGAATACTTGAAAGTTCGAACATTCGTACGCTCGTAATTCCGTTCAGACAGTCATTCGGCAGGCAGAAACGCATGTTTAAGCAGCGTCCCAAGGCGAGTCCGATGATATATAGCTTGTCTAGAACGACAGTAGTTCTGATCATTTCCTGCCAAGCAATGTGTGTAAAAGTGCTTTATTCGCTCAAACGAGAAGATCGACTGCAGATTTTGAAGTAATATGCTATATGATAGTTGAAATTTGATGTAATAAAGAAGCTGGGCGGTAAAGAAGTCAGTAAATCTCGCTAACAGTAGAAAAGGGCCAAACAAAAAATCGATATGATATGATTTACGTTTGCACTCAAAAAAGATATTGAGATAGCGTCATGTCAACGGCACGGACTGAGCATTGAATAGTGAATCAAAACACCTCTCTGATTCATTCCACGAAAAAACTCACTAATACCAAGTTGTCATATCCTTATATCAGACAAGCAAATATATGATGAAACGAAAGATGTTTATCAAATATGCTATGTTGCAGTGCATATATAGAAGAAAAAATCGACTTGTAGTAAACTTTCGACCACTTTTCTGGCTAACTCCATCGCTTGCACATTTGCTTACCAAACTCATCCACGACTCTGCAAAAAGTGGTGATACGGACCGAATTTTGCGGTACAGAAGCCAGGTGGACCCGTTTGGCGCGCAATTTCTGAGAGATCCACTCAACGAATCTACTCGTGCCTTTGTATGTTGGGACTTTCATAAAGGTAGCATGCGCTATACAAAATTTGGGATTAGAACGCTGCCTGGAACACGCTCCACGAATTTCGTAACAGACACACACACACACAAAGTCACGTAAACATCCTCAGGCCCGTTATTATAAGTCATGATAGTGGTGAAAGTGAGCATCAAGTGGATGCTTGCGTTGCTTTTGGTAGTTTGTAAAGCCTTGGTCATACCTCACAACGATTTCATTCGCAACGCTTAGCAATTCTCCTACTGTGACTCATCGTGCGCGCATTCTGTGGTCCATTCTTAAAATCGTGACGACGAGTTTGACTGCGGTCTTTGCCGCACACTGGAGCATAAAACACCCATAAAATCAGGCATCAACTTAAAAGCCAGCCAGTTACTTCCAGTGTCTGATTACGATCATACGTAAGCAGAAAAACCATTCGAGTAAAGACAGAAACCAAGAAATAGAAGTGCGTGCGTGTCGCGCGCGGTTGCGCCGTCGTCACGTTTTCTCGAATGCGCTATATATGGGCAGGGAATAGGACATTTTACCAATCTACGAAAGTTATACAAACTATGTGTTTGCAGTTTGCCCGTGATGGATTTACTTGTGGCGAATGCCAGATAGTATGGCCCGTTAAAATCGCATGAGGGCTGGCCAAGGCCTGAACAACAAGACAATTGAGTCCATTGCATGTCGATCATCATGCATGTCGGTACTGTGTACTACTTTTTCGACGCAGCCGATCGCTGACCCACTTTGCTAAAACACAAACTCACCAAATTTGCCGCGACATGACCAAATTTCAGCGATGACGCGTTGCTGAATTTGGGCCAGCGACGTGACCATATCGCTGAAATTATTCTTCTGAACAATTACTTGGAAGTTTCTTTGTTGATTGAGAAGGTTTTGTGGCAGATACGTTCAGAGACTAGTCAAAGGAGTCAATATTAAAGTTTTTGACTTTTTTCTCATCATGCATGTGGGAAATTTGATATGCTCATCACAATCAAACGCACGCACGTGGCACTGCAAGGCTATTTTATGGAGGTTACGATAGGCACGTTGTGGTGGATTAGAGTGTGGTTGGGATTTCAGCAGGGTGAACGAGTGGTATTGACAAATTTGGCAAACAGGACTTTGTGTGTTTCGTAGATGTAATACTAAATGAGACTTCCACCTTCATCGCTGTCATACGGCTTCATCATTCTTACGAGTCATGATATGGGCGCTCAGCACGCCGAATGAGTCAACTATGCAAAGTTGAGCAACTCCTAAGGTTTGGATTCCCATACATCACATACATCCAGCTTAAACTTTGAACAAATTCTATCATTCATCAAATTACGCCTTTTTGGTGGCGATCATGCCGAAGAGACGAATTTGAGGTCCGTGGATCTGAAACAAAGCAAGTGCACTCAGTCGCGAAAGCATGCCCACGAAGAGTGATCAGCAATTCAGTTCATTTTTTCGCTATTTTCTAGCACTGCGACGACTACGAATCGCCACGATTTTGTTGCTCGAAGTATGTCGATCTTACTACAAGTCGATTTTTCTTCTATATATGCACTGCAACATAGCATATTTGATAAACATCTTCGTTTCATCATATATTTGCTTGTCTGATATAAGGATATGACAACTTGGTATTAGTGAGTTTTTTCGTGGAATGAATCAGAGAGGTGTTTTGATTCACTATTCAATGCTCAGTCCGTGCCGTTGACATGA